GGGACGGCCAGGAGACGGCTGCCCGGCCTTTGCGACGCGTCCCTTGTGCTTTTTCCAAGAAAATCCGCAACACAAGCCCTTGCACGAAGGGGAGCCAGGTGAGAGGACGTCGCCATAGATACAACCAACCATTGCTCTCCGGGTTTGGGAGCACCGCGGGCTGTGCCTCCATGTGCCCGCTGCTCCTGTCCTGCTCAGGAGACGCCACCGTAACGCACCAGCCTGGGAAGTGTCCTGCAGGACAATATTCACGCCTTTGCGAAGTGGGGAGCTGGAGAGGACACATGCTACCAGGGTCAGGAACGCCAAAGAGCCCACCTGCTGCAGGGGCTAGGAGGGGGTTTCAGTCCAGAGCTGCACAGAAATGGAACGCTCCCCATCCGGCACTGGCAAGCTCACAGGGCAGAGGCCCAAAGCCTCTTTCACGGAGTCATAGCCTAACCAAGTTCCCTGAAAAGAAATGTTCTAAACTGGGTAGCAAACCCCTTGGTACTGACTAGAATGCACCAAAAAGCTGTTTGGAGGATATACAGCGACTGGACAAAACCCAGAGAGCTCCTGCCTGAGCCTTGGCTGGAACAGCCGGGCATTAAATCGATATAGCTCTATCACTCTTCCGCTGCTGCCTTTGCTAACTGCTTCTAGTGTGCTTGGTTTCAAAGGGCACCTTGTATTTCTCTTTGAGACCAGCTGTTTTCATAGCAGGACGTTTTACTGCAGTGTGGCCATTTGCCAGAGAAAGGCCTTCACCTGCACCAGTGGCACTGCTAGTGCTGCTGGGAGGTGCCTGGCAGGTGGGTGAGAGCCTCCTCACGCTCTCCAGGTGACCAAAAAGCAAGAGGTGCATGTGGTTGGACCATCTGATGTCCCATGGGGAGCTCCTGCTGACCATCAGAGAGGAAACTGATACTTGCAGGAGCCTGGAAATTCATTATTTCCCTTTGCAGAGTGTACATGGTAAAGTACTGAAGAGAGGTAGCAGGCCCCGCAAGTGTTCTGTGCCTTTTCAGAAGAGCTCGGTCAGCAACATGTTCTTCAAAGCAGATGACCATCTGCTGACAGCAGCTGAGAAATGGGTCTGAGCCCCCATTGCATACTCTGGGCAGTAAAGTGCAGGGGTACAGCTGCCCAGTCTCGAGGGCTTCATGGGAGGCCATGCACAATAGACACTGCTTTTCCCCATGAGCTTTATATCAGTTCCTGTCCCTGCATATCTCTCTAGAGCACCTCAGCCAGTAAGTCCTTTCAGAGCAAAAACTTTGCCTATAAGAGATCCAACATGCATCACACTAAGTAAGGCAGTTGGCAGCATTTTGGGAGGTCCCAAAGACAGAAATTATGGAAAGGGAGGGGAAAATCCAGGATTAAAGTATTAAACAGAGAAAAAAACTAATGTCAGATATGCCTGGAGATTAAGGGTTGGAAAACAAGGCTAGAGAAACACGTACTAGAGAATCAGCCATGTTCAACCTCCTCCCATGCTGTTCTCACTTTTAGGTCAACCTCATCTTGTCTCCCACACCACTCCAGCTCCCAGCTGGAGTGTGCATCTGTACCAGATGCTGAAAGCTTCTTTCACTTGCCGTTTCCACTGAAGCAGCCTCATCCACACTGGTAATAGGTAGGACACCAACTGAAAGAAGACTAGGTGCACCACTGCTCCACAACCCTCAGTGGTGCCCACACGAGATGGGGTCTGCTCCAGTCCAGACCAAAGGACCTTCCCATTGCCTTTGTGTCTAAGAGTCAGGAACACAGCAATAGTGTCAGGGCTTCAGTCCTAGCATCTGGAGCACACCTGGCTGATAATTTTCTCAACCTCCACACCCCTGTGCTCAGCACTGGCCAAAGCCTAGGGCAAGCTTTAGGAGCTCTCCCAGCAGGTCAGTTAGGGGCAAGACTAGGACCCAAAGGAACTCTTCTCCACCTATTTCATCATCACCACAAGGAGATTGTGACAGCTCACCAAAATCTTTCTCATCCCTGAAATGAGTTCAAGCTGCTGTGATCAGGCCTGAAACAAGAAGTACCAGGTAAGAATGACATGGTCTACCTCACATAACTCTGCCTTTCCAGCCAGCAAGCCAAGCCCTGCCTGCTGTCTTCAGTGCAGCACTGCGCTACTTCTTGCTTGACAATGGTCAGAGCTGCCTTTGAGGCTCCCAGCTTCCGCAGGGTGAATTCCCTTGGCTCAGGACTGCTAACAGAGAGAACCACTGAAACCAGCTCTGGGATCAGCTCCACTATCCCACGTGGCCAGGAATGCACCCTGTCAAACCTGGCACATGCTGTCAGGGTGCTGAGCTCCACAGACAGAGCACAGAAGGACGGCGTACATAAAGGTAACATTTACTGAGAGATACAGGACTGAGTATTATGAAGGACATACATGGATGGAGAAGGTAGCAACACCACTGCAGAGGGTGGCTTGGGCCCCCTGCCCAGCACACCAGCGAGCAGAGGGTGGCTTGGGCCCCCTGCCCAGCACAAGGGGAAGGAGCAAGACGCTACCAGACAAGTAACACAATGGAGATAACTGTGGCATATGTGTTTGTAACAAACGGACCATCATAACATACATTTCTATGGGATCACATCTAGTGATTATATAAATCCATATAGAGATCGCTGTATAAAAACTTTGTAAAAAATACTTTAAAAAAAGTGTAAAAATGTGCATTCAAAAGCACGGCCGACACGGACAGCTGGGCTGTAAACATTATACTGAGAGTGTGCTTGTGGGGGGCGCCTGCGCCACCGAGCCCCGACAGGCCTGCCCACCAGACGGGGCTGTGTCAAGTGTTTGCGGTTCTTGGGTTTGCGTTTCCCTCTGGAGTTTGTGCCAGGAGCAGCAGCAGCCTCTCTCCAGGCACGGCACCGGCAGGCACCACACGGCTGCCACTCCTTTGCCTGCGGCCCCTGATCCCCATGGGCGTGTGGTCCTCACAGGACATGCTGCGGTGGCGCAGATCCACGAGCTGGCTGAGGGCTGCGATGAGGTATCACAGGGAGGTTGCCCTCACCGGAGCCGCTAGCCCTGCTCCTGGGTTCAGCCTCCGAGTACATGGTTGACAGGTTCCCAATCTTCTCTGTCCCCGTATTTGTTTGGTCCATAGTTCCCAAGGAAGCCCACTGCGTCTTGGCTGCACCAGGCCTGGGTGCACAGTTCTTCATACAGTACATACACTAGAGACCCTGGAAGATCCTGCGCCACCGCCTCCTCCTCCTGGCCCAGTGCCTCCTTCACTTCTTCTCTAGCTGCTCCAGCAGTGGATTGGCTTCACTCTCCGGTGTCTTGATGCTGTCTGTCCGCACAATGCAGGTGGGACGGTGCCGGTTGAGCATCAGGATCAGCTGCTGTCTCTCCTGTTTCAGCTCTTCTATCTGGGCCTTCAGCTCAGCGTTCATGAGCTCTAGACGCTCTGACTCCTAGCAGGACAGAAACACAACTGCATGTGACTACGCCAACAGGGCAAGGAGAAACAATTTGGCCAACTTTGTTCACTGCTGCCCCTCAGCCCCTGCAGCACAGGAGCAGCCTGAAGATCTGCCAAGGCAGCAGGTCCCTCCAGGCAGTCCATCCCCAGCTCCACTGCCTTGCGTTACCTGGTGACACCTCAAGGAAATACCAAGCGACCTCCTGGGACAGGTCTCTGCTGCACCACAGCAAAACCACTGCCTGGCTGCTTTCCACAGTCTGGAAGGGCATTTGGAAACAAACTGACATTTAAATTTCCAGCCCCTTATCAGCAAGGATCTGCCCTTGTGAAATGGGTCCTTGTCCTCCGCTGTGACATATGACCCACCATCCCTTGCAGAAAAGCAGCAAGGTGCTGTGAGAGTTTTTCTGTCCCGGGGTGACTGCTGAGAGGGCATCCGGCCTCTGAACAGGGCCAGGAATTTGCACAAGGGGCCAACCTACTGTCCGCCCTGTCCTGTGTCACACTCCCATGGGTGCTCCTGCTCTAGCACTAAGATAGGGACACCATCAGTCCTCTCTACTCCCAGCACCACAAGCACAGGGATACCCATGAGCTCTGCCTGGCCATGCACATGGTCACCACCTTCACAGCCCTGTGGAAAAGGGGGAACAAGCCTGCATTTTCCTAGACAAGGGCACAGGAGCAAGGGGAGGCAGAAGGGCAGTTCAGGAGGGAGCACTGCCCTCAGCTGGGGCACCTCCCTAAAAAGGTGCACCCACCAAGGTCCCCACTGCACTCTGGGACAGGCCAAGGCACCCACCCGTTGCAGGAACTCTGTCCTTTCCTTCTTCTTGTTACGACATCGTGCTGCTGCTACTTTGTTTTTCTCCCGGCGTCTTTTCCTCCTCTCCTCTTCCTCATCCAGCTGCAATGAGACAAGAGAAGCCCAGGTCAGAGGCAGCAGGTGTGGGGCAGGGCAGGAGGTAGGGGTGAACACCTGGCAGACCCACAAGGGGGGGGGGGGGAGGCCACCGGTGCCAGTGGCCACCGGCAATGTGGTCTAATCCTCACCAGGAACCAGGTGTGGTGCTGCCGTGGCCTCTAACTACACTCTGAGTGGAGGGAGAGCAGTGGGATAGTCACTGGCAAGGGACAGACAACTCTTTGGAGGGCCTCCCCCTCGCTGAGAGAGGGCAGAGACAAGGGGAATAAAGCCCCAACCCACAAAGATGGGCACAGCCTGACCTATAGACACCTGCAGGCACAGGTCTGGTAGAGTCATTCAAAGCATCACACATGCAGCTGAGGGCAAGAGGCGGAGATCCACAACCTGGGCCTGGCTGATCACAGAATCACAGAATGTCAGGGGTTGGAAGGGACCTCAAAAGATCATCTAGTCCAACCCCCTGCCAAAGCAGGATCACCCAGAGTAGGTCAAAACTTGGCAGAGAAGGAGCCCCCACAACCTCCCTGGGCAGCCTGTTCCAACACTCTGTCACCCCCACAGTGAAAAAGCTTTTCCTAATGGTTTTGTGTAACCCCCTATGCTTGTCTCCTCCAAGCTAAAGAGCTTTCTCAGCCTTTCCTCAAAGAGAGATGTTTCATTCCCTTAATCATCTCTGTGGCTCTGTGCTGGACTGTCTCAAGTAGTTCCCTGTCCCTCTTGAGCTGAGGGGCCCAGAACTGGACACAAGATTCCAGATGTGGCCTCACCAGGGCAGAGCAGAGGGAGAGGAGAACCTCTCTCGACCTACTAGCCACCTCCCTTCTAATACCGGATGCCCTTGACCTTCTTGGCCACGAGGGCACATTGCTGGCTCATGCTCATCCTGCTGTCTCCCACTTTCCAGTACTTGGGACTGTCTGCTGAGCTTCAGCACTCACTGAGTCACAGGGCCACCATGGAAGGAGGGGACAGGTCCCACACTCCCTGCAAAGAAGCAAGACATGGCAACAGCTGAGCTGCTTGCCATGACTCAGCTGCTCTGTACTGTCTCACTCAAACCATGTAGGCCAGGCCAATAAGCCCCATGGGTTGGAAACCCATAATCAAAGTCTTTAGGGATATTTATCACGAAGCCTGTGTAAACGGCCTATGGCACGCTTACATCCAAGAACCCAAATCAGCTCCTTCAGGAAAAATCTGAGTGCTGGAAAGCCCTGCATAGTCAGCATCAAGGTTACACTTTGTACATGGCTAGAGAAGAAAAGGTCCCCAGTGCCTTCATCCACATTTGGTCTGGGACTCAAAACTGGAGATGTCAGACTGAACTGCCTTGTTCCTGTCCTATTTGCACCTTTTCTGCAGGCAGCTCCAGTCTGAGAGGGCAGCCCCATTCTTCCCTTCGTACCTCCCCAAGTCAGTGTGGTTGACGGACAGTTCTCCCAGACAAGCCTCTCTCAGCACACACCATCTGAACAGCCGTGTCACTCTAGCGCCTGGGCTAACACTTCGGAAGGAAAGCTGGAGATTCCCAATGGGACACAAAAGCTGCAGGTGCCAATGTCAATGGCAAACGGTGCACACTGCTAACATTCACTGAGTCCAAAGTCCATTAATCAAGACATTTCAGTGTGATGTGTAAGGGCAGGATGAAATGTTGACTAGGCAGAGTTAAGGTGAAAGGGTACCTTAAGTAAGCTTCATGCCCAATATGCAGCGTGTAGCATGCTTTAAAAGACAATGTTCATGTTTTATAGCACCAATAGCTTTCGCATCCTCTCTATCTCACTTCCCAAGCATTATACCAGAGCTGCTATTTTAGCTGGGGCTAAAATATTAAGCAAAGTCAGCACGAGCTATGCACAGACTTCCATAATCCCATGCTGCCACCATTCCTTTGCCAAGACAGTGCCATGGAGCATTGTGCACCACACTTGGGAGAACCAGGATGGGAACTGCACTGATGTGCCAGCTCTCACTACACCCACATAACTCAGGCATGGCAGGTGTCGGCAGAACTGACCAGGAAGGCTCTAACTCATGCTCTGTTGCCTCTTCCTCCCAGCAGGACCAGGACACCCTGCAGCCAAGGCACAAGTATCTCTTACAAAATTTCCACACAGAGTTGAAGTGGACATTACTGTAGCCTCTACTGGCCTCTCCATATTTACCAAGCACTCATCTACTCCTTAGATAGCTTTTTGTCCTTTTAATTCAAGGATTATTAGGAGAGTGCAGAGAGGGTACATGTGCACACAGCTCCAAAGCTCAGGAAACACCCCCCAAACTTTCCTGCAGAGGACACGTTGGGTTGTAACAGGAACTGAAAGAGCAAACAGAGACCACACAAGCCTCCCAGTACCCTGGGAACTGCCCGAGACATTTCCATGCCCTGTTGCTCCAACAAGAACCTTGTACCTGTTCCCTTCAGCTTCCCCTCCACCCCACAGAGGACCCAGCAAAGGGCTGGGATACAGGCACTCAAGGAGGGTGGCTCAGGACAAATAGGAGCTACTTGAACTCTTGGCTATGGTTTTTGACCACAGATCCTGTAACTTCAGGAAAGAAGGTTTCCTCCTCTATGCTTCTGTTTGACTTCAGTTCAGAAAGATGGCACGGCCCTGGTGCTGGGGGTTTTGACTCTGCTCAGAGGCACGAGGGACAGTGATGGTGTACCCCCCCATAGCGTGTTTCAGTAGCCAATCTCCAGAGGAGCCCTGTGCGTAGAAAGTTTAGGGTTGCCTCCTGAATTGCTTCAGTCAGTAGCATCAGGGACCAAGGTGATCATCAGGCCGAGGGACAGGGCTCTGTCCAGGGGAACACCCCTGGTGTGTTTCAATGGCAAAGGAGCCCAGCAGACCCTCTCTCCAGCTGCCCCAAGAGGAGGGCAGGCTACCGAGCGGGGCTGTCCACCCCTCTGTGGGGAAGCCAGTGTGCACTGGGTGGCTTTTGTGCACGCTCCCAGGGACAAGCACCCCCGTGCCAGGAGATGCTTGTCCTTCCCAGCACAGCAGAGAAAGCTGCCTGTGCCCCAGCTAGCGGGGAGCAGCCAGCCCTCCCGGGTGCTGCGCAGAGCATGGCACGCCGGTACCCAGCATCCCCCACCTCCAGCTCCCTGACAGAGGAAAGCAGCTGCAGGCTGCGTTGCAAAATTATGCGTGGGCAGCTTCTTGGCCACTCATGGGAGAAGCAGCTACTGCTTCAGCTCCCCCAGGCTTTTGCTGCAAAGCCTGTGCCAGGGGCAGCTCCATTTGCTGTCCTCAACATATCGGCTTTACAGGCCATGCAGGGGAGGAACTGGCTGCAAGGAAGGCAGCCGTGTGGGGGCCGCCCGTAGGTTTCTCCTTATCTTTGCTTGACATGGTGTCTGCACAACTGGCTCAGAGGACAGCTGGCACTTCCAAGACCTGCTGCAGGGCAGAGCCGCCGTGTCCCTGTTATGCAAAGGCTGGTGAGACCACATGGCCACTGAGCAAAAGCAGCTGTTGCAGGGCCAGCTCAGAGGCGCCTGAGATGCCTGCACAAGCTGACTGGATGCCCCCTTGGTCACAGATCTCCTGCGCACAGTGATCAGATGACTTCCATCACACCAGTTCCTCCCACAGAAGTCCATGGTAAGGGGCTGGGGGGAAGGAAGAGGTACCCTCCATAGAGGTGGGCCTGGATGCTGCTCAGCTTCTGCCGTAGTAGTTGGGTCAAATCAAGTGTCAGCACCATGTAGAAAGTGGACTGCTCCCAGGAGCTGATGTTTTACTCCCTTCAGCTCGCCGCTCATCAGGGGCAGCTTTTTGCATCATCTAACACCTCCTTGCCGATGCCTCCAGAGAATGCATGTCACCCCATCCTCACACAGCATCATCTGAGGTATCCTCATGCAGGAGCAGATAAACAACCCTTCTGAATAGTGTATCAGACCAACCAACATACAAGACAATCACACACAGAAAAACATTGTGCAAGGCTCTCCCAAGTCTCTGCAGCCTGGTTCTTACATGCCAGCCTGCAGTACCAAGCTGGAGCCACCCACCTTCTGCATCCCAGGAGCCCCAAAGTGAAGCCAGGGCTCTTCCCGCAAGCAGTAGGGCAGGGTCAGCCCCAGCCAGCAGCGCCTGCAGCACAAACTGAGTCACAGCTGGCTCTCAGCACCGCTCGCCCACCCGCCTCATTCCCCTGGGAATGTCAACGCCAGCAGCACCACGGGTTTGCTGGCACTGGGGACAGGATAAAAGCATCATGCAAGCCCTCTGATGGGCTGTGCAGCTTCTCCCAGCCTATGCCACAGGGACAGAAATTCAAGCACAGAGACAGCTGGTGGAGCAGCTGCCAACATACATGTGCATCACCAAAAAGGCAGCATCACAGGCCTATAAAACATGTTGCTGGCCATTTTGGCAGGAAACCCAAGCCCAGGCAGAAGAACCCAGGAAGGTGCAGGCAACAGCCCTGCAGAGCCATCTGCAGCCCACGGCCTCCAAGGCTCACCTCACTTTTCACAGGCTGGGGTCTCTTCCCAAGCTTCACCTCCAGGAAGTGGAGTGGCGAAATCATGGCCCCGATGTTGCGGATGTCGGCGTACTTCAGCTCCTCGGCAGTCAGGGCTGTGCCAGGCAGTCCTGTCAAGGGGCCGAGCCCAGGCAGCGCGCCGGCCGTCAGAGACGGGTCGGGGATCTGCCCTGGCATCATAGCAGGGGGAACAGCTTCGTAGGCTGGAGGGAGAGTGAGACATAGCCTGTTACAACTCAGCCGCAGGGCCTCACAACATGGCACAAGCCAGATTTATTCTACAGTCCTACTACCTACCAGGGACAGCAGCTGCTCTTCCCCAGGGATGGAAAAGGCAAGGACTAAACAGAACCTGGGTGACAGAAACCAAAGAATACGGACCCTGCTAGGAAGGATACACTACTGGTGTGTAGATCAGGATGAGAAGCACCAGAAGAACATGAGCTGGCTGCAACGATAGCAATGTGGTCCCATAGACTACTGGTTTTGGCCCATTTTTTTCTGAAGTGCAAAGATCAAGGTTTGCTCTTAACCGAATTTTGATTAATGTACAGGTTATTAGGACAAGAAGAAAATGGCACAGAGAGGACCACAAATGCCTTAGCCTGGATTTCTTCTGGGCAGGCTCAGCCCACTGGTCAGCGCTGGGACACGGCACACAGGGACCAGATATAAAACTGCACGAGAAAAACCTGCTACTGAACAAACATCTCCCAGCACAGACATGAGGAAGTGAAGGCTGGAGGGGAAGGGGAATGGAACAAGGTGCAAAAGACTTCCTCTATTGGGAAATAAAACTAAATTGCAGTGCAAATCAGAATAGGACAGGGACAAACTTTGGCAAGTCACTTATAGTCAAAAGAAAGAGAATTACCAGGAAACATGAAGAACAAGCAGCTAAGAGATAAAGAAGTAAGATTATACCTAAAACATAGAGCTGGAGCTGTTATATCAGCCAAAAAGGAAAGGGACCAGGTGACCGTTGGCTACAGCACAAGCATATCCCTGCTTGTGTAACTGGCCTGGGACACTCAGAATGACCCAGTCACAACATGCAGAGTCAACTTCTGTCCACACAGCAATCATTTCCCCTTTCCCTCAACGCAACCTCACATCCCAGTGCTCACGCACTGCTCTCCTTGCTCTGCCCAGCCAGATCAGTCCCAGCACACTTTGGGAACTTCTAGGCATCCACCTCATCCTGCCCCTGCACCTGGAGGCATCCACGCAGAAGGGAGAGGGACCAGTCACGTCAACAGAGAGCAATAGGCTAATGAAGCGGACCCAGAATCTCACTGAGCAGCATCCTACAACCACTAGAGCCAGTCACAAGGCAGGATTCAACGAGTAGTTGGGCAAACTCATGGAAAAGGGTCCATGAAAGACCATCAGTCACATCAGTCTGGACAAACTCCTGGAAGCTCTGGCAGCACCAACTGCCAGAGCGAGGAGGTGCATGAAGCAAGAGATACCGTGCACTTGCCCCGCTCTTTCCAAAGCATCCACTCTCAGCTGCTGAGAGACCAGGTAACAGGCGATGCAGATGCTTGGTCCAGGCAGTACAGCCATGCTAAGCTGAGGCACATGTGCATAGTCAAGCCTGTTGCCACAGTTGCCATCCTGGGGTGATGAATCAGTGTCAGCACCAGGCTGAAAATTTCAGTAAAGCTACATGTGAGATAGGACTGCTGGATCATGGAGTCACAGAACAGCTGAGGTGGGGACGGACCTCTGGATACCGCCTGGTCCAACCCCCTGCTCAGGCAGGGTGAGTGATGAGTAGCAGGCTGAACAGGGTTAATGATGACAAGCAGAGAAGTTAAGCATTTCTTGGCACAGGCACATTTCTTTACCCAGGAGATTATTTGGTATATTTGTTAATGTGAAGGAACAGGAGATGAGCAGCAGAAGGGAAAGAAAGCCAATCATACAGGTTAGTCAAGGGTAGAGAGGCTAATGCAAACTCCACAGCTCCCAGCACAGGTGCCATGCAAGCTGTACTGGCATGACAGACAAGAGGATTTGCATCAGAGAGCGCCTAGAAGCTCCAATATGCTGTAAGATATCATACGCTCTAATCTGCCTCCAAAGCGGTCCAGGTGTCAGCATGAGATGTCCCCAGCAGAATCTGCTCAGCAGACAGCAGCAGTGACCAACGGGACTGAGCACAGAAGGGAAATGCAGCAATGACTATGACTGTAAAGAGGCAGCAAACAGGAATCAAGCCCTCTGCTCTGGTCATCCTTCAGTAGGAGAGACCAGAGAGGGGAGAGCAGGCTCATGCTCAGTGCTGGTATGCAGGGGGAGGGAGCTGGGCCCGGGGGAGGTGATCTGCACAAGGACATTAAAGCCTGAAAAGGAGCAGATGGGAAGAATAGCAGAGATTAGTTAACTCCCTAAGCAAAGTGATACTACCTAACGAAATTGAATCCTGCCCATTTGGTGACAGGAACGACAAAATACTCTGCAATCCTTGACCTCAGAAAAGACAACATGTCAACTCATTGAGACTGCAAGGACCTGAACTGATCCAAAATATTAATTCTCCCAGAGCAATCTCTCAGCTGTAATTCCACATCTGCAGCAGTTGCCTTGTATGGTGTCAGGAGATGTCCACTTGCAGCAGAGCTCTGAAGCTGCATGCTGCCTCCCTTCCCTTCCTTTCAGGCCTACACAAGCCTAAAATGCTTCACTCCTCCAGAAACCAGGCACCATTCTACACTAGGCTGCAGTCCACACAGAAAAATGCAAGGAGTTATTTGGGGACTGTGCCTAAACCTCGACCATCTTCCTCAGAGACTGTCCCCCTCCAGCAGAAAAGTGCTGGGTCAGTGAGGTGGCATGGCAAAGGGGAGGTGACTCCAGAGGTTCTTCCCGGGACATACCACCACAGGACTCAAGTGCACGGAGTTAAATTCAGTCTACCATTTTAGGACAGCTGCACACATGGCAGAGCTAGCCATTTTCCAGCCACTGCCCCTAAGACAACATGCTGTGGCACTGGGCAAGAAACCTGCCAACAACAAAACATCCTGGGCCAGCTGCTGGGCACCCCCTCACCACCAATCCCATAGATGTCCATCCCCAGCTTGAACAGTCTGGACTTAAGTAAAAACGAAAAAAAATTAAAACTAATCAAAAATACAGTAGCCAAGCTAGCCATTTTCCAGCCACTGCCCCTAAGACAACATGCTGTGGCACTGGGCAAGAAACCTGCCAACAACAAAACATCCTGGGCCAGCTGCTGGGCACCCCCTCACCACCAATCCCATAGATGTCCATCCCCAGCTTGAACAGTCTGGACTTAAGTAAAAACGAAAAAAAATTAAAACTAATCAAAAATACAGTAGCCAAAGTATACAAACACCCTCTTGAAGTCTGCCTCCTGCAAATACTATGTGTGAGCTGCTATGGCACAAGCAGGCCACAGGCTCCAGGCTGGAAACTGACTTGAGCCCAGCACTGGATGCCTAAATCCATGCAGGACTTGGGAAACATGGTTTTGCTGTCTTCCATCACGACCTACAGCTGACAGTACCTAGGCACTGGGCTGGACAGTCCACGTCCTCAGCTAGAGCAAATTCAGGGTCACTGCAACTTAGGAAATAAGGAAGGAGGTGAAATTTATTCTCTGAACTGTGGGTTTATCTGGTCATCAAGCACCTGCACTTCTAAGCTTAGGGCAGCTCCTCAGGTACAACTGATGAGAGATTTGACAACACATGGTGTTTTCTCTGTCTCATCTTTTCCCTCTACCTCTTTGATCTGGTAGCTTAATATGCCTTGAAATAGCCCCTGTACCAGTGTGATATCTGACACAGGTCAGAGTGAGGAAGCTGGCCCAGTACCCAACATGCTCTAAAAGCTTACTCTGGATCCAGGGACTGCACTGCCGAAGTCCACATCACACCTGCATCACTGAAACTAAATTAAAGCTGTTCAAACTAAAGCACCAGGAGCCACTTGGAAGAACATGAACTTGCACATTAAGATGAGCTGAGAACTAGGTGGGAAGGGGGAAAAGTGACTTCTACAAGCAAGATCTTGCTCAGAGGTCAGGAAGCTCAGGAGCACATTGAGAACTGTCAAGAGCCAGGCTGAGTTAGCCCTTTGAGAGGAATGTGAAACCATTCCCAGCAGGGCTATAACCATGGAAACAAGAAGAGAATAAGGAGAGATGACATCCCTCTCTGCAGGGCAGGGGTGCGGTGACAGATTATCCTGCCTAGCCCTTGATGCTTCTCAGTCCCAGGCACTTTCAATCCCTGCTGTTCACAGGGACTCTCTTGCTCCACTCCTTTTGCCTCTTCCTCCTGTGAGAGAGGCTTTCATTTCATCCCAAGTTAATGTTAGAGGTAAGAAGTTGTACTTTGATCATGTCAAAAAAGTCAAGGCATGTAATTCTATTTAATACTTTAGTCTTCTTCCCAAGGCCATTAGTCTGGAAGAGATTGACACACCTGCTTATAGTTTCAGCATATTTCTACCATGTTTGCATGGTAGGGCAGAAATAACATTCAAATTCAAGGTCCAAGTTTGACCTATAAGTTGCAGTTTTTCAATAGCCACATCTTGCTGGATGAGGTGAATATGGCTGGTGCCTTGCCAATTCCTAATTCCTTTCTAGATATTCCCTTGCAGTGTTTGTTACTTCTAAGGCACACGAACCAACTCACCTGTGTATTTCTCCAGTTTATAACATAGTGCTTTAGCTGGGACTCTTATTAGACTTTTTCCTTTTCAGAACTGATTATTAACACAGTCCTTCTTCCTCAATGCCAGGCAATCTTTCAGTGTCTCCTTACATGAGCTGAGAAGCATTGTGTCTTCAGCACAACCTAGTTTTCTGGTGTCCTATGGCTGAACCACACAATTCCTGCATTGTATCAGCTACGCTTTTCCACATAACGAAGCCAACAGCAAAGCAAAGCAGCGAGGGGAAAGAGAATGTGCCGTCTTACATCTGACACTGAGATCTGTGTGACGGCAGCTGCTTGAGTTTACATTCACCGTAGCTGTGCCTTCTGCACTGATGCTATTCATCATTTCATGACACGACATCAAGATGCTCCAGAGTGAATTAGGAGACAGAGAAGGCTTTCTTAAAACTTCGGTGATAAGCAGCTTATGTCATTCAATGCTCTCTTCAGCAAGTACCCTTGCAGCAAAAATCTGGTCTA